AAGTCAATAAAAATACCGTTAGGCCGGTTGATTTAGTTCCAAGGATGACGAATGAGTATGCTTTAAAGGATCGATTGAATTACAATAACCACATATTTTCTGTTCAAGATGAAATAATACTACTTGCCTGTAACCTTGTAACCGTCATGTCGATCCCAGAAGAATCATTACTGAAATAAAGTATTGTCCTCTTCAGTAGGTCAATAGTACACCAGATCTACCAGGTGCATTTTCCTGTGTGTAGGATAATTTGGGAAATCCAGTGGCATTGGAATGGGGGAGCGGGGAGGGTACTGGCATGAAAAATTCTAGTTTTTTTATTCAACAGCACGAATAAACAGAAAAAACGATACGTAAAGATTTTCTCTCTTATTATAATGAATGAAACTCTGAAACAATTTTCTATGTGCATAACCTCTGTTATTCTCGAAATAACTAAATCATCAAAAAAAATATATAATTATCGATTCATTATACTTCAACTTCAAATATGATAAGATTTAAAACAATTAGGATGTAAGTTTGGTGTGAGGATCTTATTGTCCGAAAATGACACCCAGTTACACCCAAATTATGGATCTAACGATTTGATGAGTGTATTATTATTGTTTAAAAATATTTTTCGAACCCAATACAATTTACAAAATTTATTGGTTTAATCTAACAATCAAACGCAACATTTTAAAATGGGAAAAGGCTACATGATGGAGGCATCACTGGATAACATTCATTAGCTGTTGCTGTTAGAGATTTTCCTATGTTAGATAATAAACCATTCTTATTGACAATATTTGAGCCAGTATTAGCAATACAAAACGGAGTATTCATTATTGCAATCACTCGATTGATAACATCTTCTGCACATAAAGAAGGCTCTTTACTCAATAATTCAGTTACAAGAATTTTAGCACATTTAAACACATCGTGATGCTAAAATTAGATTTAAAAAAAACAGAAGTTAAACTTGACAAATATTTCAACATACATCGTTTGGATCTATTAAACTTTCTAATTGTTGTCGGATTTGTTTGACAAGAAAATCAATAATCTACAGTATGAATAAAAGAGCAAAGATTATTTGTTATTGTCTTAAATAAAATACTTGGTTATCGATGTTATTTTTAGATAAATTTGTCCGATGCGTAATTCTAAATATTATTTTCTCCTTCGTTTATTATTTATGTATATGGTAATAAAATTAAAAAAAGAATTACTTTACTGTTTCTGTATTGCATTGTGGAAAAACAACTTTTTCATGTTCGTTTTGAGGTTGACGACGAGAATATTGTGCAGTCAGCCAATTCATAAATTGTTCATGTCTTCGATAGTTTTTTTCTTTGAGAGTGTCAGGTATGCAACGTGATGAAGGTTTAAGATAATAGAATGAACCATCGAAACACAATTATCGAATTAACAAAAAATGAAGGGGCGCAAGTATTTATAAAACTCACAATCTTGATTGATCGTACGAAACATTTCGAAATATTCAACTTGTGCAAAACGTGTTAGTAATGTATCTTGAGTCGGTCGCCAATCATCATTTTCAATATAATAGTTGAAACAATTAAATTTTGACGACAAGTTGGATAAATATGGTTGTTCACATTTGTTCACTAATTTTCGAAATAATTTATATTTATTCTATCGAGTAATATTTCACTTACTATTCTAATAAGTATTTTTAAAGTGATCGAAGAAAGTATCAAAACTAAAAAAGATATGTATATATCATGGTTTTGTTTTGCATATGTGCGCCTAAATTTATAATATCCAAATTAATTCATTAGTAATTTACATAGGTTATCAATAATCATCTTGTTATTTTAGAAAAAAATCCTATTCAATTTATTTTGTATTGTTCAATATATGGACTTTCGAATGAACCGAACTACTTTTGAAATACAGCTGATATCTTTATTCTTTAGATAAACCTTTTATATGTGTGCTTTTCTCTTTTGGAAATTGAAACCGTCGTATTTCCGAAGGAGTTTATTGGAGACCTCATCAAAATGATATACATACAAAAATCATTAGAATCTGGAGTTGTATCATGTTTTATCAAAATGTAGGATAATCAGTACTAATGTTGTTGGAATGCAATTTCTGATAAAATGGTACTTTCCGATTGTTTTATGATCTTAATGCCAGATTTTATATAGTTCATGTGTGATTTTCCAGGATTTTTCATAATGTTACATGTCTGATTTTTTCTTCTATTTTCGACTTCTATCATCTTGTTTTCTTAAGAAACTCTTTTATCTTTACTGCCATATCTATATTTATTTATAAAAATTACAAAAACTAAATGAAACAATAAATATGTGCTTAAAAAACAAAAACCGTAAAAATAACATGATTGTGATTGAAATTGATCGGTAAAATGATCAACAATAAAAGATAAATAATTTAAAATGTAAAAAAAATAATCGACTGCGTTGAATTAGTCATTAGAGTCATTTAAAATAAAAAGTGAAAGAAAATCTATTTCTATTTAATTAAATTGATTAAATTACTTTTACTTTTACACTGATTTTTTTGGCAGATCAGTACCATTACACAGACGATGTACTTTCAATTCTAACAAAGTAATGTCTAAATTGGAACGTATTTAATCGCTTAAATATTTATTGAAATGTATAAAACTATTGTTATGAAAAATATTTGTACTAGTCACATTTAAAATTATGATCTTATAATAAGAATCATGTAAGATTCACGATAGTATCTTAAACTCAAATAAGTATTAAATCTTACAGCAAGATATTTGTACGATTTCGTATGACCACACAGTATCAATCTTACAACATCCGAATATCAGTAAGATCTTATAGTCTTCGAAATATTTTTCAAGTTGAACATTTACAATTGTTCTTTTTAATTTTTTTTTGCTTTATAATCATAAGGAAAGACATCCCATATCACGAAAACTGAATCACTTTTAACGGTAAATTACGGCATCTATCAAAGTCGGTGGTTTACAGGACAAAAACTGGCGGTAAACCGCTGGCTTTTTATCACACGGTATGCTTGATTAAGACCTGAAAAGCTCTATTTGACTTTTTTTTCTACTCCGGATTTCTGAGGCATTGATGATTTCATCAACTAGTGCAATTCTTCTTTCATCCAATTATTCGGCTCTTAAACGATCATCTTAATCTATTAAGCAACGTTTCGACGTATAAATTGACAAAATAGAATACCGTTCAAACGGTTTTATGGCCACGAGAAATCAAAACAAATCAATTAATTCAAGGAATTATCTATTTCAGGCAGTACTTAACTTACTTCAACATCAACAGTATCCAATAGTGAAGAATAATTAGTTTTCCTAGTGCACTTTTATTCGATACACCTATTCTTATCAGAGATTAATCTAATGCATAGAACTCAACGACATTCATTATCAAATAAATCTAAATTTATGACCATATAAACAATCCTAAGTTTATATTGTAGTAGTTAAATGTTCTCTGCTCAAACTCAAACAGCAGTATTATTGATGATCACTTTTGTGACTACGATTCGAAAAGAATTATTAAACTATCACCTTTTATGTCATGTGAAAAACAAACTAAAATGAGTGCTGAAGTACAGAACAAGATTGTTAGAAGTCTATGCGTGCGAGTGTGCATGTGAGTGTGAGCTGCAGTCCAAGACTCACACCGACACACAAGCACACACACCCTAGGATTTATAATCCATTCGAGAGGTATTTATATTTTTCTAGTCTTTTCTCAAATAGATTTGTTGTGTGGGCGGGACAAGAGAAGACTCTGAAACTCGCCAAATCACAACGACATCCTAACCCGCAAGAACTGAACTCATAGGCTCATCATAACAATTAATTAATCAACATTAAATTGATGAATATTGGCGTTGATTAAACTTGCAGCAGAGTAAAACAGAATTGCATTGATGTGTTCGAATCGATGAAAATGAGGGGGATAACGTACTGATACGAGCATCTATGTTGAATAGACTAGAGA